CACACACACACACACACACACACACTCCTCACATGGTCCTGAAATAACTGTAGCGTGTTTGGAGAACAATGAGGCGACAGCTTCCTGTCCCCTACACACCCATTACATTCCTGTATGCCAGTTTATTGCGTGTGTGTGCGTGTGTGCGTACTCTTGTGTTTCTAACCTTGTACAAACCAAAGTGCCCACAGTCCTGACAGTGCTCCACCAGCTGAGGGTATTTTACACTCTGTGAAAAGCTGCTGGTCATTTGTTACAGCAAAGACTTGTGCTAAAGTTACACAGTTAACGTTGCACATTCACAACCACAAACTTCTAACTGACCAAAAGAGATGTACTAACATGTTAATTACTGGTGGACAGAGCTAAGACGGATCCAAATGGTTTCAAAAGGCAACATAACTCAAACCAGCCACACTTGCTGTTTCTCACTGTTTGTATTAAATTATAACCCTCCTTCATCTTTTCTCCACACGATGGAGTGATTTACATGAGGCTCTGGCAGGAGGAATACTATGTGTCCAGATAGTTTGGACAATCGTGTCTCTCATCAAAGAAAGAAGGCGTCAACTTCTGTCTTAAATCAAAGAGTCAATGCAGCTTAAACTGTCTTTACAAATACGGAACTAAATCACTGAGGGGATCCCTTTAAATCTGGACATGTCACCTCCTGTAGAAAGGTCTCATGAGGACAATCTATCTAATGCCAAGATGAAGTGGAGCAAAGAGACCCAACTTCAACTGGACCCATACCCGGTCCTGCTGAAGTCTCCTCGGTTCCATGCCAGCTACAGAGCCACTGAATGAAAATGCACGGATGATATTCATGCATGTGGGATACATGTGCATGTTGAAGATGTGCACATCCTCCTTGTTAGCCACAGATCTCAGGTGGACACAGAGAGGAGATAAATAGATGTCAATGAATCAATCTAATGCTAAACTCATTCAGTTCTTATTATCATTAGATTACAGGGTCAGGAGGAAACAGAGGATGAGCTGTCCTGTTATTCTGGGACATGAACAACACCTCTGATCTGATTCACTGACTCTTCAGTGTGTGAGCAGGTGAAGTCACCGCAGGCTGTTCGGGGGATGAAGGGTTTCCTCTGCTGGGCCTTTATTTACCTCTGCTGCTGTCAGATAGTGTCATGATAACATGCAGATCTGGACCAGACACACAGACTGAGCTTTAAACACATGAATACACTGCACGAGTGGGAAACGTCAATGAATGATGGTGATGATAAACAAGGCTCCGCACCAGAGCAGCAGATGCATCAAAAATAACCCAGAAATATGTGGATTATTACGCATCCAGCTCATGGATCTCACTCACCTTCACTACAGCGATGTATTCGTTGTTTCAAACCCCACCTGCGAGTCAAATAAACCCCCGATCGAGTCGCTTAATCACGGACGACGGAGCTTCGCACGGCCCGGCCGCCACCGACCCTTCATCGGCTTCCTAGCGGGACTCCGGCCCCTTCACGGCCCGTGTGCTGCGCCGCTGCCTCCCGGTGCTCCAGCCTCCGGCTCAACGCGACTCCTCGTTCGGAAAACGGTGATTGTTTTTAAACGTGTCCCTCTTTAAAACTCATGTCTGTCGGTCCACGGCGTCGTGGATTCCTCCGCGATGCAGCCAGACGAGAGAAAGACGAGTTCATATCTTATTTATTTGGCTGGACCGCTTCACATCCGCCTCCCGTTTCCGCTGCTCCCTCCTCCCGGGCTGTTTACGCTCCTCCGCTGGGAAGATTCAACCAGATCTATGCGGACTCCGCTCTGATGGAGGTTTTAACCAAAAGGACTTTTCTTTAAATCCCAACCTTGTTGTTGTCCCCGCTGACCGAGCTCAGCCCCGCTTGTCAATCACTCGGTGTCGGGGGCGTTCAAGTGCTCCGGGTCCTCCCAGAGGTCCCGGGCCACGCTGCTGAGGGTGAACTGGTTTCATCCTGGTTTCATCCTGGTTTCATCCACACAGGATGGTTACAGACACTTTTATATCGAGCATCTGCAGTGGTGCAGGTTAAAGAACAATTCATTCATTGTGTACTGTGACGATGGAGGGGTGGGTGAAGTGTTTCTTTAAGTTTGAAGCAGTGGTCTCCATTTACTTCATTACAACTCTGTTTACCTCTGAAACTTTAAAAGGGTTTCACCCACTCCTCCATCAGCACAGTGGTGAGCAGGTGAGTGCATTTTCATTCTGGGTGAACTATCCCTTCTGAGCCTCCTTGGGTTCGAATCAACGATTTCAAACATTGATATTTACAATTTGTAATCGTGTGGTGGGCTATGCAAGGAGGAGCGATTGTGTGAGTGAGCATCACCAACCAGATGATGGATATTCTCACAGGACCTGACTGACAACCGCTGCTGGTGGTTTAGGTTTTGGAGGTAAAAGGCTCCTCCAGCCCTTCCACAGCTAAATCCCACAGAGGCACCACTGGTCTGGAGACATGGAGAAGACTGCAGGCTGCAAAAAACATGTTCAGGATCAGGATGTTATGTGATTAAAAATAAATTTATTTGGCTGAAAATATTTAGTTAACAAAAATAGAGCTGCCTTTACAAAATGGGTTACAACAGCATAACTTCTTGAATTTCCTTCGGAATCAATAAAGTATTCATCTATCTTGTTAGAAATGTGTAATTTCTACAGCGGCATGAAAGTGAAGTTTGTTTGTTATGAAGAGAGGAAAATATGCGGACACAGGGCTGGAGGAAAGCATCACCTGAAATTCCAGTTTCAACTTCATCAGTCAAACCTTGACACATAAAGCGAGAATGATTCGTGAGTATTTGAGACAATAATGAAGCACCAGTGCCTCTAAAACTGCAAATATATACACATTATGCTCAATCTGCCAAAATAAATACACATACCTGAAACTACAGCATGAACGACACGTCAGTAAGAGTGGTATATATGGAGGACGAGGATAAAACAATACAATCATTCCTACAAATTATCTCTTCCTTGTTTTTAGATTTCTTCGTTAATGTATTTCTTATGTATACAAATACATTGTGTGTTTGGTTTTTTATTTCCATATGTTTGTATCGATGAACGAGTTAGTCTTTGTCCTCCATACTTTCACAGTGCAGCACTTGCAGGAAATTAATCGGAGTCTGGAAAAGACGATGAGGGATTTGTGTTGCTACTAAACTATGCAGTATGTGTTTATGAGCTGCCGAGTCATCTCTATGTTCCCGCTGGCCTGGTAGATGAGTGACAGGTTGAAGGCGATTTCCCTCCTCAGATCAACCTGGTCATCAGCAATACCCTGTAGGCAGGACAGGTGGTGAAAGGATGGAGAGAGTGACGGGCAAAAAGAGGAAATTATCTGGTGAAGCTGCATTATTGAGATCTACTGGAGATTTGTCTCGGCACAAGGAACTGGAGAGATAATTTATTATAGGCCCATTCATCAATTTCCTAAATAAAAGTGAGGCGTTTCTAAATCTGAAACCAACTACGCTGCAGCAGATTGTGCACAAACAAGCACTTTCGTAGGTGATTGCTGTCGGTATTTACCTCCAGTTTCTGTGCGGGCAGTGAAAGTGCCTTCTGGTAGTAATGAATGGCCAAATGTATGAGGCCTATCTGATGCAGCGCTCTGCCCAGGTTGTAGATGCTCTCCTGACACTCTCCACGCAGCTCCACATACCGCCACAGAAAGGAGAAACCCTGAAAACACACGTCTGATTAAAGTTTTCATAGAACAGTATGTAATGGAAAAAGCCACAAGCGTGTTTACACAAACATTGTACCTGCATCACCAGGATGTGTCGCTTGGCAACATATTTCTGTGATGCCATGTGGAAGAAGGTGAGACCCACACAGAGACTGTGGAGTGGGTTGTTGGGGTGCGTCTGAAAGGCCTGCACATACTGCCCTAAAGATCCATAGGAGATATGGAATCGGTTAAAGATGAATAAAGATGGAAAATTATCACAGAAATATTTTGTAACTGTAAAAAATGAGACCAATGGGTGCCTGCAGGAATTATCTGCAAACTATTCTCAATTGATCAGCTCCAAAAGCTATTAATCTAAAGTTTGGTGAAAATCCATCCAGAGCGGTTGTGAATTCAATGGGACTAAAATCTGAGTCAGAAACCTACTTATTGTAAATCATTTCAGGTCAGTAGTGGCATGTGTGCATTTTGTACCCAGTGCATGTTTGAAGCTTCCTGACACCATGGCGTTGTGTCCACACAGGACACACAAGGCGTGGTTGTCAGGGTGTTTTAACAGCAGACGTAGACAGAACCGATGATGTCGCTGGTGCTTAGACTTTATCGTCAACTGAGGAAGAAGAAGAAGAAGAAGTGTTAGTCCAGGAAACAGACACATGCCAGCGATGCATTCCTTTTTTTGAACATGTCGTTTATGTAAAGATTAACTTTGGCTGCAGACCTGGTTGAAAATGTTCCAAAGCTGAGGCAGATCCACATTTTCCATCAGCATTAATCTGGTGAGCAGCAGGAAAAAAGGAGACAACTTACACTCACAGCTGTGGCCATGAAGGGAGGAACATGATCAGCAACAATACTCAGATTGAATCCTGAATGATTGGTACTATAGAGGTGAGGGAAACATTATCCACACAGTTAAATCTCCAGCAGTAACCTAGACTGTTGAAAGAAAGAAAGTTTGGGTCCATGGATTCATGCTGTTGATGCCACATTCTGACACTGCAGGAATAATGTGGTGTTCCTAATAAAGAGCCCGTTCCGATATATTTCGATCTCAGAAATAATACCAACCATACGAGTTAGGAAACTTTGACATATTGTCCACCTGATGGCGCTGCACATGTGGGTCTACCTAATGTAGTTGTAGGCACTGTAGTAGTTGTGGTCCAGGAGGGTGGCAGACAGGCCGAAGAACTCCATCTCCTTTCTCTTGGGCTTGTTGTCATAGAAGGAGAAAAACTCCATGGTGGACTCCACCAGCAGATCAGCCTCAGCGTAGCGGTGCACCTCACACATCGTCAGCACACAGCTCACAAGCAGCTGCCACCAGTCCTCTTTGGACAGAACATTGGTTTTACCTGGCAACACATTATACCATCAGCACAGCGCCAGTGACTCAACAACCACTGTACTGAGGGGCACTACAACATTTTGTTGGTGTCAGCTGGTTTTGCAAACAAACAACCTCATCAGAGTCTTGAAAGTTGGCAGCTCAAACATCAACCTGTTTCACTATTTAGAGGTAATGGACTAAAACATGCAAAGCTTCAAATGTGACCCTTTAAGAAATAAACAAACAGCCTTCCCTCCACATATGGTAACTATTAACAAGTGTTGACTGTGAACAATACCTCACCAATTGCTCTGTGCTGCTTCTGCCAACTCCAGGCTCTGTACAGCAGCCAGATCTCCAGCTACGAACACTTACAGCAGACGGCCACACACACACACACACATTAATACACACTATACATACCAGTATTGTCCAGATAGGCAGCTACATGGTCAGCTATCTCTGGCATCACGTCCTTGACCTTCACCAGCTTCAGGTGAGTCTCACCCGACATGGTTACAGAGCATACACACACATTAGCTCGCTGCATGGCCACCTACAGGACACACACACACACACACACA